CACGAGCAGCGCTGCCACTCGCTCACAACTCGCCCACCCGCTCACCCACTCACCCACTCACTCACCCTCCCACTCACCCACCAGCCAGTTACCCATTCACCATCCAGCAATTCACCTACCCCTTCACCACCCACCCACTCAACCGCCTGCTCACCCACTCGCTCACCCAGCCGCTCACCTCCTAACCCACCCACCACTCATACACCTACCCGCTTGCTCGCTCACCCACTCACCACCGGCTCACCAACTCGCTCGCCGATTTGCTCACCACTCACTCGTCCACCAACTCGTCCACCCACTCACTCGCTCACCCACGCTCTCAACCACTCACTCACCATCCACCCATTCCTTCATTCACACACTCACCAACCACCTACTCACCCGCCCATCCACTCACCCACCCACCCGCTCACTTACCCGCTCACTCACCCACTCACACACCTGCCATCTGCTTATCCACCCACCCACCCACTCACCCGCTCACTCGCTTACTCACACACCCGCCACCTGCTCACTCACCCACCCGCTCGTCCACCCACCCGCTCACTCGCTCATTCACCTACTCACACACCCACCATCTTGCTTACCCACCCATCCACTCACCCAATCGCTTACCCACTCACTCACCACCCTCCTGCCCACCCGCCCACCCACTCACCAACCATACCCGCTCACCAACCCAAGTGCTCAACCACCCTCCTGCTCACTCACCCACCCACTCACACACCTGCCACCTGCTCAACCACCCACCCACTCACCCATTCGCTCATCCACTCACTCACACATCCACCCAACCACTCACCACCCACCCATTCATCCACCCACTCACCACCCACCCACTCACCACCCACCCACACCTGCTCACCCACCCATCCATCCACACATTCACCCGCTCACCCATCCACACATTCATCCGCTCACCCACCCACACCCATCCTGCTCACTCACCCGCTCTTGGGAGGATAGACTTTTAGTTAGTAAAACATCTGTAAACAAATCAGGATTACTTGTTTAACAGATGATAAAATAGATCAGTAGACAGGGGCTGTATGCGTTTCTACGTTGTAATTTATATTCTGCACAAAGGCGACTCCACAGCAGCTGTGGCGAGGCAAGGCCGGCGATCACGAGAGCCAGATGACAGCAGATAACTCGAGAGAAGCACGCGTTATCGTCTAGCTGTGGGTGTGCTCAACTGCACGTGTGTTTGTGGCTAAATGCGAGAATGTGGATCAGTGTGTTATTAAATTACGAGGCTGCAATAAGATCCTTGTATGTATGTCGACCTTCTGTTGCACCGTGCTTAGCCAACCGTGATAATCGGACATTACTCAATTGTATTTTACATCGAGCAATCAGCACCCCTACGTGCAGAGCAAAGCCGCTTGCAGGTGAAATGCTGAGTCGCCTTCTTATTGTGCAAAAAAAAAAGTTGCCACTGGGGGTGCCCTTTAGAAGTGCAAAGGGGATTGCATTCCTCGCAAACCACGTGGCCCAGCTTTGCCTTGAGAGGCAGTCGCGCCGTGCAGGCGTCCCAGTGTCAGCGCTGTCACCACCGTCACCATCGTCACCACCGTGACTATCGTCACCACCGTCACTATCATCACCACCCACACCATCGTTACCACCGTCACCACTTTCACCATCGTTACCACCGTCACCAACGTCACCACCCACACCATCGTTACCACCATCACCCTCCACGTGTAGGATTCACGGAATTTGAAGGGACAGGGGAGTAATATTAGATGAAAAATCATACATAGGTGTGCAGCATGCATGCACCCACCCTCTCCAACTTATCTAGACCAACAGCTCAGAAAAACTGAATTTGTGACCAAGTTGTCGTTTAGACCGGCGGTCCCCAACCTTTTTGGCACCAGGGACCAGTTTCGTGGAAGACATTTTTTCACGGACTGGAGGGGGGGGTCATCATTGGGCCTTTCCCCCTTTTCAAAGAAGCTCTCCAGCGACGTTTGTTTTTTGCTCATTTTGGCGAGGGTTAGCTTGTGGGCTTTATACCAAAACTGTGACTGAGACAAGTGCGCAGTGCGGGAGAGAGGCGCGGACGGAAGTGGTAAATACAATAATGGGCAGGCCACGCGCAGACTATAATAAGTTACGGATTCCGACTTCTCATAAGGAGCGCGCAACCTAGATCCCTGGCATGCGCAGTTGACAGTAGGGTTCGCGCTCCTATGAGAATCTAATGCCGCCGCTGATCTGACAGGAGGCGGATCTCAGACGGTAATGCAAGCGATGGGGAGCGGCTGTAAATACAGATGAAGCTTCGCTCGCTCGCCCACCGCTCGCCTCCTGCTGTGCGGCCCGGTTCCTAACAGGCCACGGACCGGTACCGGTCCGCGGCCCGGGGGTTGGGGACCCCTGGTTTAGACCACAGACTCAAAGCGTTGAGAACACGTGGCCGTCCCAGCAACAGGCAGCAGTGAGACAAAGACAACTGTGGACCGGTTTCGTCTAATTAGGACTCATTAGTGCAGGACGGTAATCAATACTTTCTCTTGCCATATGCCTCTGGCAGCCCCATATATGGAGATGACCTTTACACTATGGTGACCCCATAGACAGTTGTCTAAAGGTAACAGTAATCAAATCTGTAAATGATGAGAAAACCAATCACAACAAATATAAATTATGCAGGCTGGAAACAATAGATTTCACAATGGTATCAGTGAAAATAGTATACTTGTTTTCTTCTTCTTTGGTTCTTTCGGTAAAGTCACGTAGAATGAGAATAAAATAATAAATTGATAAAATAAAATAACACAATAATATTCTCACGACGTTTCGGCCACAACACAAGCGGCCTTCATCAGGTGAAGGGGGCGTGACTGTCTGGTAGGACAGCGCTGGAGTGAGAGAGCCACGTTCAGATCACGGCTTTTAAGCTGTGTGAGAGGAACAAAGAGCCTTGACAAAGGAATTAGCATAAAATTTAGCATTGAAATGGCTGAATGATTAGCTTGTGACTGGTCACAGAAATAGCTATGTTAAAAGTTAAAGCATACACATTCGCAGAGGCACCCATTGTTAAAAGGAATTAGCATAGAATTTAGCATTGAAATAGCTAAGTTAAGGCATACACATCCGCAGAGGCACCCCTTGACAATGGAATTAGCATAGAATTTAGCATTGAAATGGCTGAGTGATTCGCTTGTAACTGCTACAGAAATAGCTGCGTTGAAGTCAGAGCATACACATTCACCGAGGCACTTAGTACAAATCAAACAGGAGAATTTAGCATTGAAATAACTAGGCGAATTTAGCATTGAAATAACTGAGTGATTTGCTAGTGACTGGTCACAGAAATGACTGCACATCTGAGCTATTCACAGTACTATATAGTGAACCAATAAAAACTAAAATATAAATTACCTTCATGTTATCAATAAACTCTATATTCTCCAATCAGCTAAGCTACCAACCATAAGTCGTTATATATCACAATGCTATATGGCGAAAAAATGGGTGGATTCTTACCCTCAAATTTCCGCACCACGGATAGCTACGGGCCCCGTTCAGACGGACGAGTTCGTCCATGGTCGGAACAGAGGAGGGGGAGAGAGACAGCTGCGAGGCCCTAGTATACTCCATGTTGTAAACCATACCATTAACCGTGGTGTGAGAGGTATTAAGAGGCAATGCTGGCGAAAGAGCTGCGGTCTGAAGGTCATCGTAAAATTACAATTAATTAAGAACAGAAATGATTTAACAC